ATATATTTATATTTTGCGAATTATTTTTTAATATTTTTATTAGGTGCGCTTTAATGAGAAGAATGGACGCCTAAAATTTCATGTGATTTGGATTTGTAGAAAAAATATTAAAATTATATTACGAAATGAGGTCATGACCATCAGATTAGCCCAGATTCAATTTAGGCCGTCGGACTAACATTGTAGCTTAGTGAGCTAACTTCAGCTTTTTCCTATATATATCTATATACATGAGTAATGATCCTATGAGACCATCCCACACCCATGTGTGTATGACCCCAAAAGATCACCATTACATTTGGCACAGATATCTAGAAAAGTTATCACATGTGTGTGAGACTTTATTTTTTTAGAGATCTGTGTCAAATTTAATGGTGTGATTATTTGGGGTCCTATACACATGGGTGTGGGAGGGTCTCATAGGATCATTACTCTATATATATATATATATATATTATCAAGGGGATTTTGTTAATTGTTGTGATCTAACTCTTGCTTCATTCAATCTATGTCCAAAAAACCAAAGTCAAGTCATAAGTCAGATACAGCAAAGTTTGAAACCAGCAACTCAAATTGATTAAACTTTTCATCTTTTCTTATATATTTTGTAGAATCCCAAAATCTCTGAAATACTAATAGAAGGATTTTGAAATCGATTTCCTGGTCTTTTATATTGGGGAATAACTTCTATTATTGAATAGGCTTATAGCTAAAGTATAACCAAGCTCCGAAACACATAATTAGAGGGTTTCTTTGGGCTGAAATTTTGCACACTTTTGATTTAACAGTTTCAAAAAGATAATTTGAGTTCTTGAAGGTTTATATCCATCATCCAACCAATGGATGGCCTCTGTTTCTCAGAAATGGACTCATTTTCCCCCTTTTTTGTGCAAATTCGTTTTTTTCCTGAATCACCAAGATGAGATCTACATGCATACAAAATTTGGATCCAAGGGTCCTCTACTTTTCAAAGTGGCTTCTGCAACAGTGTAAGCCTATTAGCTTATATGATCTTTTAAACGATATGAAAGCATAGTTGAAGGACTGCAGTAGCAAAAAACTAATAATAATAAAAAAGTCGTGCCCCTGCCGTCAAGTTCCTACCTCTTCATCTGTGTCAAAGTAGGGCAACTCGAATTTGAGTTTTTAAAAAAGAAAAATCAAAATTGTTCATGCAATCATGTCTGCTTTTATTTGCTAGTTCATTTTTTGTTCTTTAAAAAATCTGTTTTGAATTCTTTTTTATTTCATTTTTCTATGGAAAAAGTTTATATAAGTGGGAGGCTCTAAACAATCAAATTAGGGCGCACCTCAAAAATTTCACTAAAACAGATTGTTTTGATGCCCAAATATCCTCAAATTGATCATCTCAACCTCAAGATGCATGGACATGAGAAAAAAATGGATTTCAAGTTTTGGAAATAGTGCATCTTGTAATACATTTTTGGACTGTCAATTTTCAAGATTTTCAAGTTTTCTTAGATCGGCTCGATTTGCACTATTTTTGAAGCTTTAAATTTTATAATTAGATGTGAAAATATATTTTAAAGCTATCACAAAGATTTCCAGTATTGAAACCACATTTCGCGGCATTATTTGAAGATTGTTTAGATCCTCAGCTTTATACAAACCGCACCCTTTTTCTATTGACCCTCTATTTATGCATTCTAAGATGCAAATTCCTTTCAAAACAAGGAAACAGTCAACTTCTAAGTGGTCTCATGAGTAATTCTTCTATATATTGCAGCACATCCATGGGTTAGGGAAGGGGGAGATGCATCAGAAATCCCTGTGGATATATCAGTTCTTAACAATATGCGCCAGTTTGTGAGATACAGCCGTTTAAAGCAGTTTGCCCTTAGGGTATGCTTCAATTCTTCCGAAGTACCTACCTGAAAAGAGATTATTTGAGGGAAGTGTATTAATATTATCAAGGTTTAGGAATGGAGTGGTGGTCTGGATTTTCCATCTGGAAAACTGGTCCTGTTTGGCAGATTGGCGGCCCTGATTGGCGAACTGGCCAAGTGAACTGGCCAATAAAAAATTAGAGAAATTAATGAACAAAAAAATTGAAAAAAATGAAAAATAAGATGGGGCCGGTTCTGGCTGGATCCTAGAGGTAACTGGCGGTTCCTGATATTTTGGTGTAACCAGGCTACCTCTCCAGTTCCCAATCCAGATCAGCTGGTTCCGATCCAGATGGTCATTTTTTTAAACCATGACTGTCATCAATTGAACTATCGTAAACCATAAGCGGATGTGGTCACAACTGTCAAACAAAATGATAAAAATGGAGAGAGAGTTGGACTCTCCAGAACTGGACATGACCCCATTGATTTTCTCGGTCTATTTCACTGACAGTGATGACCCTATTGTACTATAGTTTTCCATTGTCCATGGGATTATAGTATACTTTTCCTTCATCTATGTAACTTGTTCTTTCAAGAAACCTGTGTTCCCCATAAACCTAAAGAGGAAGATCTTCATTCTTTTTGGGAACTACATGATGATCACTAGGTTGCACTATGGCTTTTTTCGCAGTGATTATCTTCCATTCGATTAATTTGGAAGTTGAAGATTAAACTGGTGAAGACAATGTATGTGGTCTATTGCATTGTCTGGTCTAACCATATGGATGAGCTCTCTATGTCTAATCTTCCCGGTCCAAAATTGGTTGACTGGAGGATGTTTGGTTGCTCACTAGGGAGCATTCTACAATATGCGAGGACTAGTGATTGCTGAATCAACAGCTCACTCCCATTCATTTTTTATATTAATAAATTATTAAGACCATGAATCTGAATTTTTTGTATTGGCCTGCAGGCCTTGGCAAGTACGCTTAATGAAAATGAACTGGCTGATATTCGTGATCAGTTTGACGCAATTGACATGGATAGAAATGGTTCTATTAGCCTTGAGGAAATGAGACAGGTATGAGTGATTGAAATTTCTAGTTGATATCACTCTTCTGCTTTCTTAATAATCATGGAATTGGAAACTTGCATATTTGGCATGCTTGAACTCCACAGTGAAATTTCTAGTTGATATCATTTATTTACTGGGAGTTTTGTGTCATCTTTTCTTTTGTTTTTTAGTACTATGGCAAGTTGTGGCTATTAATGTACATTCATTTATTAATTTTTTATTTTATTTGCAGGCCCTTGCTAAAGATCTTCCTTTTAGATCAAGAGAACCACGCGTCCTGGATATACTTCAAGCAGTAAGCTGTTTACATTTGAAGTTCCCCTCAGTTGAACTTTGTCTCCTTGGATTTTATTCTTCAGCTTTTCTTTTTTGTTGGAAATGTGACTCAGAAGGTTTTCGCTTTAGGTTTCTGACGACTAGGTTTTAGTGATAACTTCTACAATGTCTGAATATAAATACTTATTGAACTTAAAGGGTAAACTGGATTAATATTAAATTGATTTTTAACTAGAAAACTGTGGAAATTACTGAAGTACTGGTCCCATCTCTTATAAAGTTAGCATCATTCATTACATGTAACTTTCTTTACATTAATAGAATAGAACAGTAAACAGCTTCAAAAACAAAAAAATAAAAATAAAGGTCTACCATCAATTATTCATTTTATTTCATCGTAAGGATGTATCCTCTTGACTAAATTTCTGGTTTGGTAGCACATTGTGTGCTAGACAAAATCCACTAGCTATATTTATTTTATTGGACTTTTTCATTGAAAATTGAATGTTGCCTTTATTTGTCTTCTTCTCTACAAAATCCCACAAGGCAAGATTGCCTAAAGAATAAACACAGGCAGATTTTCTACCACTTCTTTTTCACGATGTTCTTATTTGGAATTTTGGATTAGACATGGTAAGAATTTCCATCTGTTAATTTTTTTTTCTTCTGATGAGTGAAAAGTAGACAGTTTAAATTGGTAGAGAAATAAGTTTTCAGAAAAAGCTTTGACATAAGTATTTACCGGTTACAAATGAGAATAGCTCTATATACAATATTTTCCCTGCATACTTTGGGTAATCATGCTCAAAGTCATGCATCTTGAGTTGTATTAAACCTTCCCAGACATAGTGTTACCTGCCTAATCTCAATTTATAACTTTCAGTCTACCTTTCCTTTTTGACTAAGAACAAACGTTGTACTTGCATTAGAACGTTTGAGAAAAGTGACCCAAATGAGAGGAAAACCATAATTTAACTCCCTTTAGATTGTTAGATTCGCTGGCAACGTATCTTGTCCTTTCCTATCTTGCTTAATGCAATGTTGATCAAAATTGAGTTTAGGCATGAAACCATTTGAAAGAAGGCATTTGATCTTTAGCCATGGATTTGTTCTCATAAGGTTTCGCCTTCTTTCCTTTATGTGATACAGATAGACAGCAACACTGATGGGCTTGTTGACTTCTCTGAATTTGTGGCGGCCACATTACATGTGCGTCAATTAGAGGAACACGACTCGGAGAAGTGGCAACAGCGATCTCAAGCTGCTTTCGAGAAATTTGATGTGGATAAAGATGGATATATCACACCTGAAGAACTACAAATGGTTTCCTTTTAAACCTTAGCTATCTATATATAAAAATAATAATAATCCAAACTAATCATGGGGAAGTATAATTATGTCCATTGGACAATTTAGAAAGGAAAAAAAAATGCTCAATTGAGTATGAAAACCCATAGACCATTGGGGTCGTCACCATTCAATCATTCGATAGATAGCAAAGAAGAGAGGGTGGGACCAGCATTTGGGTGATGCCCTTTTCTTGACCATCCATCACTCATCGGCTGGTTCTGACCCTTATAGACTATGGTTTTCATGAACTTCTGTTTTCCATAGTTTATTGGGTTATAGTTACTTTCCCATTTTTCTTTATTGTGGATGGGTGTATTCATTTATTTGCTTAAAAGAATGGGTAAATATATCTGTCATTTTTATATGGTAGCGGTTTGTATAGAGCCTAGGCTCTAAACAATCAAATTAGAGCCTACCTTCAAATAGTGTCTAGAAATGTGGTTCCAATATTGGAAATCTTTGTGAGAGCTTTAAAATATATTTTTATATTTATTTATAAAGTTTAAAACTTCAAAAATAGTGTAGATCGACAGATCTATGAAAACTTGAAATTTTTTAAAATTGACAGTCCTAAAATGCATTACAAAATACACTATTTCCAAAACTTAAAATCCATTTTTTTCTCATGCCCATGCATGATGTTGAGATGATCAATTTGAGGATATTTGGGCATCAAAACAACCTCTTCTAGTGAAAGTTTTGAGGTAGGCTCTAATTTGATTGCTTGGAGCCTCGGCTCTATATAAATTTTTCCCTTTTTATATTGCATGAAATGAGATTCATATGTTTTTACATGAACTTGTTTAAAAATGCAGCACTCTGGGTTGAGGGGCTCCATCAACCCATTCCTTGAAGAGGCAGACATCGACAAGGATGGGAAGATAAGCTTAGCAGAGTTCCGCAGGCTGTTGAGAACAGCAAGCATGAGTTCACGCAATGTCCCAAGCCCTTCTGGTCATAGAAACCCACGAAAGATTTAGTTTCCTCAACATGGGAATGGAAATGTGTTGCTCTTCTTATTTGAAGATCACACAAGTGCTTCAAGACGCATTTGAACTCCATTTACGATTGGAACTTTGACAAGATTTTCAAGTGTGCAATCTTCAGCCGCATCAAGACTGCCCTAGTTCGACGTATTATAAAGAAAGCTCCAACATGGATTAGTGAGCCTTATATGTATGGGATCTGAAAGGCAGAATGGATGGAGTCTTTTTATGCTCCTATTCATCCTTCATTTGACGCTTGCCATCATCAGTGAAATTGTAATGTATGCATGCGTTCAAATGATACAGGAATATATATATATATATATGCAGGTGTACGTATGGGATGGGGTGTGTCAAGGCTCTTGATGTTTGATGTAGCCGTTCTTTTTTCAAGCTTCATGTTGGGGCACAAGAAGAACCATAGTTGTGGGACTTGGGCAGTCTTTGGGTGGGTGCCATGGGGTTTTGGTTTGAGCTGCTTTGTTGATCCACAAGTTTCAAGCATACTAGTAAAATTGGGTGCAAACATTATTTCCATTCTTGCTATGTAATGCATGTCTATATGCACACAGATCTCTCTCTCTCTCTCTCTCTCTCTCTCTCTCAGGGTCAGTGCTGAAATTCTGCTGGCAATTTCCGCTGTTGCTTTCCTCACCGTGGCAACTCATTGCACCAAAACTGAGAGATTGCCCAGAAGACAAAATGCAATGTACCAGGTGGAGTCTGCTGCGACTAGCCTGCTACTCCGTTGGGCTCGGCTCCCTGCCTAGCCCATAACCTGCTCCTCCTTCCACAGATGATACCCCGCTGCCTGCCCTCCAAACTCATGTGGTATATAGCAAGATATAGTACTGGAGTGAGTTACTGTGGCAACTGCCCTATACCAGGCGAGTTTTCCATGTACTCGGTGGGATGGACGGCAGGAATTTCATTCTGTTTGTCTTCTCTAATAAAGAGCATACTCATCTAAGGCCCTGAATTTTGTTCATAGAATCCATTTTCCGTGATCTACTCACTATATAGATCCAGATCTAAGCAAGCATAATCAAATTTGAGAGACTTGTGTGGATGAACAAAATCAAAATTTCCAAAAATGCTGTCTCGTAATAATTTTATTTTTGAGAATATTCACATATATTTCAGTAAAATGGAGCTTATAAAATTTTGGCACCTACAATTGGTGATCTTTACAAAAACCCCGAACGGCGAGGAAAATGCTTTACAGCTCAAGTGTTTAAACCAGAGAAAAGTTTATGGGTAGCTTAGTGCTTAGGGGTCTGGGTTGGATTGGGCGCCATCCTTTGCGAGGTCTGCTGCAGAGTTAGCTTCCCTGAAAATGTGTTTACAGGATACTCTCAGAGTCCCCTACTAAGATGAAAAATCTCTTTGAAGATGTCAAAGAGGCGTTGTAGGCGGGAGCTGACTTTGGACGCCCAGGCTATAGTGTTTTTAGAATCCCCTTCCACCAAGAGGTGAAGACTCCAGCTCGAGTTGAAATTGTGAAGACCCTCCAACAAGCAAGGGTCTCAAAAAGAGTTAGAGTCTGCCAGCCTGATAGGTCGAGAGAAGACTAGCATGCCGCCATCATATGGCCCAGGGTTGCCTAGCGTGCAACCATCAAAATTAACCTTGACATGACTAGGGTCAGGAGGTCTCCAAGACCGTGAGATTCTAGGTGGGGCAAGGGACAAGAGGAGCTTATCATCTTAGTAATAATTGATTGATCTTAGATGAAGTTTGCTTCCTAATCCTATTCCTGGGTTCTTACTGACCCTACTATTGGGTTCTTCATCAAGTTTTTCATAAAAGATATCCTAAGAATACCCATTTTGAAGATGCCTTTCTCACATGTTTAAAAAACACTTGACATGTGAAACAACATAACTATTGCATCTATAGATAATCATGTAAAAACATAACCATTGCATTTATAGATAATCATGTGTGCATACGCATATATAAACTTTCCAAATAGAAGCTAAAGATTTTCACAAATATAACAGCTTTAGGGAAAAACATATTATTCAATCTTTCTGTTCACCCACCTTCTTTGGGTTACAAAGAAGTGACAAAGCGATATGACTTAGAAGCAACAAACCCCAGAAAACCAGCAAGCAGTGAGCCTCCTGAAAGGAGTTTTTAAGTAGCTGTCCTCAATTGGGGGTAAAAATTAAATGTATATATATAATCCAGTGGAACATGGAAAACTATCGTCCCTAGGGTCAATACCGTCCATTGAATGTAAGGTGATGGAGAGTGAGAATTACCATCGTTAACCAATGGACTAAGGTTTCCCCATGGTTAATTGGATTATTCATTAAACTTAACAGTTAACCAGTAGAGTCTAAACATGAAATTGGTCACATGCCATCCACTTCAGAAAAGAAACAAGAACACGCAGCAGAAAGTGTAATACAACTTAGAATTTTACGACAGATCAAAGCTTCCGAAGGACAATCAGATTATTTTCTTGACTTATTGGGGTGAAGGTCCACAAGTAAGTTCTGATTCTTTTCATCTCTTTTACATGGGATGTCAAAAATGGATAACTTAACTAAGACAATTTGCTATTAAACAGTCACTCATGAACTACACATCTCATTGACACAGGATGACCTCTGGATATATATTTTCTCAAGGTGTTGGGTGGGTGTGGACCTCCTAGTGATTGCTTCAAGCTACCACCTTCTTTGAAGTCACTGAATTGACAATGACTGCAAATTCTGGACCCTACAAGGCAATGGAAACAAAGAATAAATGAAAACATGAACTTCAGTACAGTATAGAAAAGAACTAATGGAGATCAAATTTAAACTTAAATTGTGATTTCTTTTTATCTTGTATGGATTGCCTTCTTATTTCTTTACAAAAGGAAGGGAAATAACTAAAAGATTAAAAACTACTTATTTCTTACAAAAGGTAGTGAAATAACTAAAAGATTAAAAACTACTCCTAAAATGGCAATACGGCATGTATTACTTTCAAAGAAGCACCACCAACAAGAAAGCCATCAATATCCTCTTGCTTAGCAAGCTCAGCGCAGTTGCTCCCATTCACCGAACCTGCCCAAAAACATGGAGTCAGTATTTGAGGACCAATGGAAAATGCAATACATTTAGGGAAGGGACATATTACACTGGACAAGATTGCTAGTTAGGCATTCAAATTTTAAAAATATATCAATATACCCTAAACCTCATAAAAAAAAATACTGGTACAAAATAGAATTCATAAAATTTGCAGACCTCCATAGATAATGCGTGTTTTGGAAGCAACTTCGGCTGAGACATTTTTCTTAAGCCAATCACGAACAGCCATATGGACATCCTGAGCTTGTTGAGGAGTTGCTACTTTACCAGTGCCAATTGCCCAAACAGGCTCATATGCAATGACCACATCGTCCCAGCTGGGAATATTATCTGCACCCCAAAATTTGATGTCAAACATTATATATCTTTAACAGTCCAAAATACATACAAAAACCTCCAAAGTCGATTAAAAAAATATATATGCATGACAGACAATTGGAATCATATTTGCCTGTCCACATATGAACCCTACCTGCAAAAGCCTTCATCTGTTGGAAACAAACATCAAATGTTTTCCCAGCTTCTCTTTCTTCTAGCTTCTCTCCGATGCATGCAATTACCTTGAGGTTCTCGCTTAAGGCATAAGCAGCTTTCTTCCCAATAAACTGAAAAATTGGAAGCTTTCAGAGTATTTGTGAGCATCAAAGAATGAATAACTCATCATGCCCCTATTATATCCAAGAAATTTATAAATTAAGAAAAATGAACTGCAACTTTAACCTGGTCATCTTCACCAATAACATGTCTCCGTTCAGAATGGCCAAGAATAACCCACTTGCAGCCAATATCTTTTAGTTGCTCCACACTGGAAAAAAAAAACATAAAAGAAGTTTTAATATGACTTCACAATAAGGAATACAACTAGGGAAAATTATCAAACCACATCCAAGCGATCCATTTTTTAACACTTCACCCACTTCTTTTGTCCTACTTCCAAAAGAAAACCAAGGTACAATAAGGACTTAAAAATTCATGGGCGAGGCAATTTCAAATTTTTCCCTCCAGAATGAAAGTGGTTTTTAGAAAAACCATCTATTTGAGATATTGGTATTTCAGGAACACCAATATCCCTCTCCCATGTATTTAGAAAAAACTCCTAGGGTTTCGTCGAAGGGAGTAAAAATGTATGCTTTGCTCCAGCGGAATCATACACTCTTTACAAAAATTACTACGGTTTTGACGGAGGGGACAGATAGGAAGTTGCCCCTCTAACAAAATTCTAACCCATTACTGACCACACAAGTCGCTTGAAGTTGAAGGCTTTTCGAAATACAAAAGAAGGGGTAATGTTAAATGGTACATCTCTTGGGGATGGTCTGACAGATTTCCCTCAAATTATATGTTGAATTTCAAAAGTAGATTCTTTTAATAGCCAGACATAACAAATAAATTGCGTGAGTTATCTGAACACAAAATTCTTAAGAATAATGTCTTCATGACAAATTATGAATTTCAACTTAAGTTACAATTCATGGCTTGCACCACACGTGAGAACATGTAATCATTAAGTCACAGAAAAGAAAGAACAGGTCTAGACTTCTTCCTACAAACTCTAGGTACTATGACATGAAGGTCTATGTGGTGCTCATAAAACTAGAGATTCACTGAATAAATTGTATAGCACGTTAACAAGGGAGGCATAATCACTCCTAAATAAAGTAATAAACCTTTTAGAATGCACGTGTGCAACAAAGTAGTAAAGAGGAAAACAGAAGGGTTATATACCTTACCTCAATCTCTTTAGAATAAATTCATCGGTTATGAAAAGTTTAGACATCGTTTCATGGACTATATAATTGTCATGCATTGACTGCAGAAATAGTTTACGTATTTAGTAGAAATGAGCAGTTGAGGACAATGCAATGAGGTAAAGGCACAAAATAGTCCAAAATCTACTAAGAGATGTTGCAACTTGGTATGGCTTCCATCTTAAGCCGCAGTGCCTCAACAACTCCAGTTGAGCTCTATTCTAGTGAAAAATACAAAATATTAATGATAAGGATAATCCAATGAAAGAAATGAAATTAATATTTCTGAACTTAAAAATAGCAACTTGCTTCTGAAGGAGATTCTTTCCAATTAGGAGCCAACCCATCCCCAAAACAGGAAGCAACCAGATCGCAGTAGAATAAGCCCCTGTTTCGATGGACAACTAAATGGGAATTGTATTAATTGTGTGAGAAAATTTCTACCAGTTTTTCTCCATTCAATTTTGAACCCTGCTTGAGTTTAAAACTTTAAATGCTGCCAGCCCAATGATAATGGATAAATGATCATAGCCATCGAAAAGAAAAAATGCTTGTTTTTACTGTATTCTAGAATTGTACTAGAATGAATATCCCAAGGGCAGCCATCCAAAGTGGCACAAAAAGTTTCATTTTCAGTAAAAAACACAAATATTCCTTGCAGTCATCAGATATCATGTTTCCCAACCTCCCCCGCCCACAAAAAAAGATAAAAAATAAAAAATAAAAGAAATGCTAAATGCAAAGTTTCCGTGGTGCAATTATTCTTTGGAGTTTTTAAACTCTTGGAATACATGCAGCAACCAATGTTCAAAAAGGCGTAGGCGCCTGCCTAGGTGTTTTGGGGGCCTGGCAACCTAAGAGGCCGGGCAGCTGCTGGAACAAGGACAGGTGGAGTATTAATTAAGTTGAAAGTTGTATTACAATTATTATTTATTAATTAATATCCATAAGATTTGGTTTTGGATATCAAATATTAACAAAATATCAATTTCATCCAAAGTTTATGACTATTCACAAAAGCCCAATGTCATCGTCCAAAGGAGGAAAAATTCAATCTTTCAACTCAAACATGTAAATATATCATAAAAGAAAAAACAAATGATTCATAACATAATACGTTATAGTAAAATCAAATCAAAACCCTAATTCAAATATGATAATGCTTTAAAAATATCAAAATTAAAACGATGTCAGTGCAAACCTTGTCTATAGATCGCCAAAAGTCCTCAAAATTGACTACTAGAAGCTCCAAAAACATCCATGAACTATTATTGCCTTTGTTTTGGGAAGAAATCGAAAATTTATTGATCTTGCGATAAATCACAAAAGAGAGGTTTTTGGGGAGTTTTTCTCTATCTAAAATGCACGGTTTTGGTTTTGGGGTTTAGAATATCCCCCAAAATAAAAAATAGCAAATTTGGCCCTCACCAAGGGTTTTTCCACTGTTTGACAAATTGTCACAAGGCGATGCCTAGGCAGCCACCTAGACTGTAGCGCCCAGAGGGCACCTTGCCTGCTTAGGCGGCCGCCTAGACAAAGGACGCCTAATAGTCCCGCATAACTAGCGCCTAGGCATTTTTACAATTTTTCCGCCTAAGCGGCTGGGAAGGCAAATTTTCAAACATTGGCAGCAACTATGTTTTAGTTCTAATCACAAATGAGAATATCAAATGCATCGGATGTAATAGAACGATTCATCCCATACGCAGCATAGACAATGTTTATGGATCACTTAAAACCCTAGGCTCCATGCAGGAAAAAAGACATGCATAGCATATGAATGACATATGAAGTATTTAGTTTAATGGATGCCAAATCTCTGAAGGGCATTACCTAATTTCACCCGTGAAAGCTCCACCCTTACCAACCCAAGAGTTCTGAGCAGATACCTCAATGCGATCAGTCAATGAGGTTTTTACCTGATCGATATATACAAATGGAGGTGCAACAACAACATCTGCAAAATCAACAAGCACTTAAGAGACTTCTAAAACAAAACCTTCAAAAGCATAAGGGGCAAAAAACTACTAATATATAACAACGAAAAGGAAACAGGTTGAAAAAAAACTATTACATAAGAGAGAAGGATGCATAAGTACATTTGAGATAATATTTAAATGACAGTTATTCAAATTCGCAAGCAAGAGAGCATCCATCAATTAAACTTGAAGCACATAGAGAAACTTCAACGAGTTTGCATTTGGAAGGACCCTACCATGGGGCATAAATTTCAACTGGTAAAAATGGGAGAAGAGCATTTATCTAAGCAGTTAGAGAATAGGGGGGGTTCATACGAAGGCCAGTTGTAGTGAACAAAGCTCCTTTGGATAAGTATTATGGGAGATTTGGGATGAAGATACAAGGACTTCTAGAGAAGACTTGTCAGGGACAAAAAACAACATCACCATTTTTACGTAGCTTTTACACAATAGAAATGTCAATATCCAATAGGCAATTCTGTTTGCATCTTTGGGTAGGAACTAGGTTTAGAGATGGAAGAGTCCAGTTCCATTTTTAGTAATTGCACCCAAGGTCAGGTTTCCAGGCTTAGTCCCTAATCGGGGTCCCATACAAAAGAGCTAGGGACTGTTTCGAGAGTTGAGGAAGAATATGTTGTGGTATTTACACTTTAAGTGGAAAACTAGGGATAAGACTGTTGATTGGCCTTATTTTGAGGAGGTTTGTTTCATCCCTGAGGTAGAGTTAGTGAAGGTAGCAAAACATTACATTCAAAAGGAACCCCTAAATTATCTAGAACATCAAGCAAGAGGAGAAGAATATTGGAATGACATTCTAAAGAAGTAAGAAGTGATACTGATACTTCCAGAAAAAATCTGAAGTCTGCAACTCGAGTAGCAGTTCAAAATCAAGAATGCAATTTGGTTCAAGCTAAGTACCACATGCAAAGACAAACAAAATTGAGAAGAGAATTACCAACATCTTGCTCAAGTTCTGCATTGTTTAAGTCAGAAACAAGCTTGCTAATACTCTCTTTTGTCCCATTCTGCAGCAACGAAGTTGAAACGTATAATGTTTAAAAGCACCAAAAGCATTAAAGTGAAAATCTCCACTGAAGGCAAATGTAGCTTGAAATACATGAACAACAAAGAAAAAAGGCAATATATAATAAACGAAAAAAACCAGCATATCCTTTTTTCAATCAAGCAATGACAAAAGTAGTAGTGAAGAAAATTATCAACGGCCACCGCATCCTACAGGCTGTACCTACAGGAACTATTACTCTTTTTATTGAATGCATGAAACTGTATTGGAACTTCTAAAGCAAAAATACATTGCGTTGCTTTGAAAACAAAAGACTCCTTGAAATTTGAGGCTATATACGATTTGTATAAAATGGCTGTAAGAACTAGGGAGGGTCGAGAATTATCAGGAATAACAACTGCCATATATGTTGATATTTAAGCTGACTTTTTGAAAGCTCTGCTTTTGGTATTTAATGGAATAATAGACTGTGTGCTCATCCCTCAGGACAAAGACCCACTTAGGAGGGTTTTCTTCATTAGAAATTTCCACTTTAGAATCACCAGATGCGTATTTAAATAAATAAATAAAACATAGGATTTTGAGTTCCTGAACACCTATATTTGACTGCCAAAAATTGGACGGCCTCTTGTCAACCAGGACTAAAATTTTCCCTGGCAAACCCAAGGTGCATTTTTATTTTATTTTCTTTTAGTTTATTTTATTTTTTATTTTTTTTATTGTAACTTAAGTTGGTCAGTGGGTTGAGAAGTTACATCCCTAGAATTTGGCATCCCAAATATGCTCCTTGATGGGATTTTGCCCAAGTAAAAAGGAATGAGAGAAACAAGCAATTCAGTAATTTAAATGGAAAGCAACTTCCAATTCATAACTTGAATGACTAACAATATTGAAATGAGATAGCAGCCACTTACTTATAGTCAATTGTTAAACTTAAGATGTCAAATTGTACAAGTGAGGAAGCTCACACTGTTAACAGCAAAATCGCTATGATGAAGATTGGCTTCTGACAACTATGAAAAGATTGTTCAGTACATAAATTCCTTAACTCAGACTCCTTGATATTCTCCAACTTCAGCAAACAATTTGTCCAGCAATATTAATGAGCAGTTTTAACTCATCACTACTAATGGCAATTTATTTTCAAGTAGTTCACCATTAAAAATCCAAAAGTGGAACTTAAAACTCAAAACTGAACCTATTTTCCTTGCCAGGTAATAGGAAGTAAACATTGTTTAGGAAAAAAGAAAATAAAAGCTGCAACAAAAGAAGCAGAATCAAAAAGTCTAAGCAGCAGAAAAGCCAAAGTTATGGTAAGAGCACGTACACACTTCCAATTGCCTCCAACAAAGAACTGCATCCACAACACGAAGCAAATGATTATGGACCAATCAATGATGTAAATAAAGTAACTTAAATGTTACTTTGTCTAACTTATAAAGAATGGCTAGACACTAGAAGATGTCTCAGTTACAAAAAAATATATGTACTTAGAAACACTATAAACAACTGCGAATATAACGATAAAAAGACAAGGAAACCCAATATCCAATGTACATGTTGAAGCATTGATGCAAGATATGGAAAGGATGTCTGCCAATACTGCATCAAACTATTGACAAACATGCAAATATTGCTAATAAAATACAGGAATGGCTATTTTATACATGACCATAATAAAAACTGTGGAAATGCCTTAAAGGAAAAACTATGAAATTCCTGAAATCATGAATAAGTGAACAACACATTCCCTATGAAAGCAAAATTTGGAAGCATGAAAAAAATAGACATAGAGGATGCAATAGAACATTAAGAAAAAATAGGTCAAAACCATATGATCAAAAGCTCCAGCGAAATAAGTAGAGCTGCAATCCCCTATCAAAACCTAATCTACAATCAAATACCTTCAGTCTCTCAGTGGGAAATATCAAAGTTCTAGTATATTAGTTAGAAATTGATCACATTTCCCGATAGAAATTGTTTACAAAACTAAATATTCAACTTGAACGATGCACAAGCATAGACTAGTACGGCATTTGTCCGATTGGTTGAAAAGGCACTCCCGAAATGGCTATGGGGGTGCAACACATTCAACCACACACTTCAAAGCCCTTAGAGGTATTGTAAGATTCTAAATCAATCAAAATATTCAGCTGCATCAAATCTCCATAAAATTCTATGCTTGGAGTTATTATGATCATAGTTCATTGCATCAATTTTTAATTTGTGAAAATTGTCCATTATAAAAGGATAGAATCAATGCATCTCTCTTTCATCTCTAAAAGCTTATACAGGATCCCAACTAATGGCAATCCTCATAATTATAAAGAAGCAAAAATCGAGAGGAAAAGCAAAACAGAAGAAGAGTGACAGAAATCATCACAAAATCAACCCTACCTAATCAGAAACTTCCAGTTTCAATACAAACCAAACCCAAAAGGAATAAATACTTTTCCCTAGAAAGAAACCAAAAGAGAGCCATTGACCATTTTAATGGAGAGACAGAGAGAGATAGAGAGAGAGCAATTGTTGAGAAAGAGAGCATAATTGTAACTTCAATCGCATTAATCCAAATGCCCAGAAACTAAAACAAACCCAAAAAAACCACATAGCAGCAAAAAAAAAAACAAACGCCAAATAAAATGATTAGAGAGAGATAGATCTTAAGAGAACAAAGTTAGAGAAAGAGAGAGAGAGAGAGAGATGAAATACCTTTCCTGAACCAGCCATGGCCACGACTCCTCTGCAACCTTGACCAGAGACCTGGAGGTTTCGGGCGATGCGATCAAAGAGTAAGGAAGAAGAGTGAGAAGAAGAAGGCTGGAGATTCAATAAGGGCTTCTTCAGAGATGAGGATCGGACGGCCACAGATCGCCCACCAGACAGTTGGGAAGATACAAAGGATGTGGATACCGCGGCCATTGCGGAACCAACCAAGCCTTTTGTGACCCAGAAAAATCAAAGCCCTCACTCTCTTATCACACTCCCTTCTCTCTCTCTCTCTCTACACACTCTCTCTACACCAACCCACCCTCTCTCTCTCTCTCCTCTCTTTTGCCGTCAAAGTCTTTTTCATTTCGTGAATCTTTCACTTTTGGCACCTAACCTTCAGCTCTCTCTTTCTCTCTCCTCTCTCTTTCTCTCTCTTGAATAGGGATAAAACGAGAGAGAAGCTGACAAGCGGAGTCCTCTTTCCCGACACAATTTTTGTCGTAAATTAAAGTTGAAAAATAGATTATTTTTTAGTTTTTGACTGATGATAAGCTAAGGAAGAGGGCCAAAGATTATTCTAAATGTTTGTGTTATCGAAGAATCTGTGGATCACTAGGTTGTTGAGGGTTATTTTGCAAGAATGATGGGTTAGAAACGTTATGTAAATGGACATAGAGACTCATGGTCAAGCTGCTGAGTTGCTCATGGAGAGTTTTCATTGCAATTTTAATGGGGTTGGGAAGTATGGAAAGATAGGATTTATAGAATCTTTGAATAAGGTGTCGAGTATTGAGGTAGGTAATTCAAGGAAGATTATTGCTCAGCATGGTTGAATGGTTGCAGAAGAAAGGATTTTTGGGGATTTAATGTACAGAATTGATGAAGTTTTAAATGTACGTTGTAGAAAAAAAATATGAGGGTGGGTAATTGGGTTGTCCTCGTAAAGAGGTCTTAAAGCTTAATTTTTTATGGAAGCTTACTGGTTATTCATAAAGTAGGCAGTATACAAGGGGTTTTAAAGAATTAAAGCTTATAAGCATCACAAGACATTAAAGCCTAATTTTGATGAAAGCTCATTGGGTATTGGTATAGGAGGGATTATAAGGGATAGTAAAAAGAATGCTTTAAGAAAATATTATAAATGCTTAATTTAATTCGTTGTTATAAGACTTTGAAGCTGATAAGAGGAATAAGGAGTAAAATTATTATTGAGGATCATTCTTTAAATATTACAAATTGGTATGATGAAAAATGTTCCCTGGAGGTTGGTGCATTTATTCAGGGAAGTAATAGAACTGTGCCAAGGCAAAGAGGTAGTTTTTAACATATCTACAAGAAAAGAATATATCCTGTTCGATGGTTTGGCAAGATGTAGTGCGGAAGTTCAAGATTTATGTGTGGAATAAAGGATGTATTTTAAAGTTTTTTATTTTTTTTATTGATTCTTGTTTTGCATTGCTGGTGCTAAAAGGCTTTTGAATATTGGGTATGTTAAGGTACTCATAAATATGAGTATTTCATTAATGTGGTCAATATTTTTGAACACTCGATACTTTTATCCTATCATGTAGTAATCTTTTTGTTTAGAGGTATTTAAGGTAATTATTCAAAGATAAAGAGAATTTATTACAAAAAGAAGATTATTTATTAATTATAGTGGAGGATGACATCATCTACATAAAATGTAATATCACCTGCATGAAATATTAAATGTCATTTTTTTTAATAAAAATATATATTCTACCTTTTCAATAACAAAAAAAATATCTTTATTAGAAACTATTGTATTACAAAACAAGTATTTAAAATTTGTTGAGTATAATTATAAAATACTTTTTAATGTGAGTACCCTAACATAACCCTACAGTAATTGTTCTTTTGGATTAATAAAAGGAAAAAGTGATTCTCTTTAAAATAAAATAAAATAAAAATAAAACTAATAATAATAATAATAAAAAAAAAAAAAAATGAGACCATGAGGTAAGAGTGGAGGCCAAATTGTAGAGGGAGAGAGAATAAGCAAAACATAAAGTTGGTTGGGAGGTAAAGAGGGCATGTCAAACTTTAGATTGTGGAGAGAGAAAAAGAGAGTCATCCACACAAATGTTGTGATTAGGTGAGACGATGTGAGGGTAAGAAAGGTGTGAAGGATGTTTCAAGTTGCTGCCGGTTGTTAGATGCAATCCAAAAACTCATGAATACGAGGGTCCCCATCCCCATCACCCAACAAAAAGTGGAGCCTTTCATGGTGGTAATCGTTCCATGAAAGATATAATCTAGACAGAGGACATTCACAATAACCTAGATGAGGATGAGGCCCTGTTGCTTTCAAGATATTAAGGTTCTCTATCTTATTCTCCAAACAAGGAAAAGGTCCTAAATCTTCGTTTACGACGGAGATTTAGAGCACAACCGGACCAAATTAGTTGTCCGATCTGTCGGACTCCCGACGGGTATCTTGGCCTCTGTGGTTTAAGATTAAACATTAGGTTTGATAAAACATTGGTCAAAATTAATGTTTGATCGATTTTTGTTTGTTGAATTAGCCAATTTTAACCCGTTCAACTCGTTAAGGGCCATTTTGGATGTCAAATAAAAAAAACGTTCATGTTGAAAAAATTCGTAAGTTTCTTTATTCTTAATTACCATCTTTTTTCTTTTTTTTTTTAATGGTAGACTGTTTGGATGACGTTAACATATTAAAAGCAAAGCCAATCTAAAAGATTTTCCTATATCTCTCGCAACAGTAAACAATTTACTTCCATACCACAAGCAAACAAGCAACCCGAGCTTCTCCTTATTCCTGAAGAAAAAGGTTTCCCATGGGTGTGGTATGAGAGAAAAAACTTGTCTTTTGTAGAAAGAGAAAAGGCATTGACTTTACAAAACTACCGCCTAGGGCTTCCATAGGGCTTGAGCTTCTCTGGTTTTTTGCTACTCAAGCTTTTCATTATTCATGAATAAAAGGGCTTCCCATGGGTATGGTATGAGAGAAAAGATTTGCCTTTTGTATAGAGAGAGAAATACCTTTTATAGAGTAAGAAGGGTATTGACTTTACAAAGACGTCGCTTAGGACTGCCATGGATAGGGTTTGAGTTTCTTTGGGGCATTGGCTTTACAAAAACCCCACGTAGGGCCCCATATATGGCGCTTGAGCTTGTCTGTTTTTTTGCAACCCGAGCTTCTCCTTGTTCATAAACAGAAGGGGCTTCCCATGGGTGTGGTATGAGAGAAAAGGTTTCGCATTTTATAGTATGAGAGAAAAGGCTCACATTTTGTAGAGAGAGAAAGGGTTTTGGCTTTACAAAGACCCCGTCTAGGGCTGGCATGGATGGGGGCTTAAGCTTCTATGGTTTTTTTAGAGAGAGAAAATGAAAATGCTATGGTTTCACGGAGTTGTTGGGTAGAGTAGATTTGGGGTTTTTGAGGTTTTACGAAGTTGTTGGGTTATGGGTTGAGGTTTACACGGGGTGAGAGAGCTACACTTTCATTAAAAAATTTCAAGTCTGATTTGAATTTTTTTTTACGGTAACTTTTGTCTTAACATTGCAGTATTTTTTATTTTAATCTAAAATTCTAACAAATTCCTAAGGTTGTCCAAGCTGTTCAAATTTGTTTCACAAGATTATGAATTGCAATCCAAAAATATTACAATTTTGGGTACATCCAAACGGACACTAAATGAAATTGGACAAATTTTTTAATATAATTTTATATTTTCAAATATATTATGTCAATTTTTCTTTCTATTTTTTTTTTTTTTGTCTAAAATCTAGTTCAATCAATTCAACCAATGGCATTGATTTGTACTCGAGCTCATCATAACAAAGAGTTATTGAGTATTTCTTCACCGGCCAAAGCATTTATTTCTTGATATTAGAAGAATTCTTTCTCCCTTACTTCCACAAACAACTAAAATGCTCCTGGTCTTGCTTAGGGACCAACTAAAGTGTCATTGATCTTCTAAGCCATTCCGAAAGACGGATTTCCACATTTTCATGCACTATATTTACCGTTAAATGGTAAGGCTCTCCATTAAGTGGCCCTCATGATCGTGACAAAATACTGGGATTAACACTGTGTGTACGTGCATGCGCACTGTGTATGTGTGTATGAGAGAGAGATTGTCCAAAGCATAAACACGGTGAGGGGGTTTACCATGTCATATTGGTTAAAAAGTAATTGATTTCTAGAAATAAAAATCAAAGGTCCAAAATTTGATCCCAACTCACAAACGCCATCAAAGAGAACATTGATTACATTACATATAAAATGGTACAAGGACCTGATATTCTACCTATTGTTCCAAGGAAATGAAAATTTATTAGAGTAAAAAATAAAAGGGAAAGAATTCTTTATCAAAATAACCAAAAGCCAACACTTCCACAAGTGGGATAAGTATATTAAGGACTCAATTGGCTCTTGACCTGTCACCACCACTCCATCCACGCATTGCCCTTTCATTCTTCTTCTCTTCTTTCATCTTCTGCACAATCTCTAGAATCTTTGAATCAGTGAAGCGAGCTCGCACGTATTTCATCTCCTCTGCTTGGATCTCTTTTACGGCACTTGGGTAGGGGTTTGGTGGTGGTTTCTTCCCTTGAAGGCGTGCTATTTGCTTCAGCCTTTTGTATGCTTCTTTCTTTGCTTTCTTTTCAGCCTTGTATTCCATCTGCAAAAAGGAAATGGAGAACACACCTTACAAAGTAGTCAATTCTAGAGCATTCATTCCCCTGAAGATGCCAAGTTCATATTAAATTCATGGAACCAATCAGGAAAACAAGAAGGCTTTAACATATTTCTCATCGATCCCATATACTGAACTAAATATTATGTTGCTATAAACTCTTAACAAAATGCATTTCGTTCGACTCTGCCCTTCGAATATCTAGAGTAGCACGAGAATTTTGTTACAGGTTCCTCAATTAAATATTGTGTTGCTACAAACTCATAGAAAATGAATTTCATTTTGACAGTGAACTTCGAGATCACGGCTAATGCATGAGAATTTTACAAAAATATCAGAACACGGCCACGATTCTGATCAAAAGCCCCAAGAATTGAAATCATCCACATAAAACAAAGCGAACTAGAAATAAACTCCAATTCCGCTTCATAAATGAGTAATGCAGAAGGTGATCCCACTTCTAAATCCTTTATCCTCAAGAACTTGAAGGATGAACACCAGATTCATCAAAATGCACCTACGAGATGAAATATTAAACATTTTAACTATTTCTTTTGGTTTAATTTCAAAAAGCCCATCAAAATACAATAGATGAAAATAGGTAAAATGTTAAATAGTTGATAGGTGTATTTATCAAAATTTCCATAGCAACTATCCCGTACCTACCCAATTTGCCACTACATTTCTCAAAACCTGCCCAAAATATGTTCACCAAACAAATCTCTCTTTTTGTTTGAAAATACAGAGAAGTTGAGCCCGACATCCCCAAAAAGATCATTTTTAAGTTTTAACTGGACACAGGTCAGCAAGTAGCAAGAATATGGCCTACACTGACTCAACCCAACATCAAACATTGCATCAAAACTTTGAGTCTCCTAGATTACCCAAAACTAAACCTAATGCATCTTCTAAATTCCACATGCATTACCATCAAAATTGGACATCTACAAGTGTAACAATACTAAAACGGAGAGACCTTGAATTTGAGGAAGGTGATCGGGTCTTCCTAAAGGTGTTGCCAATAAAGGGCATCATGAGATTCGGGAAGAAAGGAAAGTTGAGCCCCCGTTACATCGGACCCTTTGAAATCCTGGAGAGAGTCGGAGGCGTCGCATATAGACTTGCCTTACCGCCTGAATTAGCCAACATCCATAATGTCTTCCATGTATCCTCATTACGAAAATATCAGCCCGACTCATCCCATGTCCTGAAATATGAACTTTTATCGATCTGCTACCTTTCTGCAATTTTTATCCAAATTGTTTGATTGGTTACTTACAAATATTTCAATGAAAGTAATTGTTTAAATTGCTTCAAGTGAATTCCTGTTAATGATTTCAATGATACTTTGAATATACGATGTTGATGCTTTTTGATGTTAAAGAGTTTCTAAGATAATTTAAGTATGTGTGGACCTATCCAAGACGTCGATAGGGACTATTTGGACTCATCCAGTATGCCGGTGAAGTACGTTTGGACTTACAGGGATTGTTTGGACCTATCCGGTTATACCGCTAGGTACCCATAAATTAGCTTACCATCAAAAGAGGTCAATAATTGATTGCTTCAGCTAAACATATAAACACATAGCACAAGAAGATGGCATTCATTTGTATATCTAATATCCATGTGGAAATAGGAAGCTCTTCAAGCTCAACATATTTTTCCTTCTTACTAATCTATTATTGACACGTGGGAATACCAAGATCTCAAGCTCAACAAATGATTCCTTCTAAGTTTGGGAGGAAGCCATCATACACAAAGCAAACAAAAGGGATATCTCATTTTTAATAAGGCAGCGCATAACGTCGTTCAGGATATAACTGCACTGTTAGGCCCTCTCTAGAATGTTGGGCAGTTACAATAGCCAGCACTTCACTTAACAAGACGCTCTCTGATGTCACCTCAACGAGGCAACAAGCAAGGAGGATTCCATGGGAAAAATATGACAATTCTAGATACAAGACAAGAAGTTGGTTGAATGAATATGTATGAGAGAAACTTATAGACTTAAGTACAAATACTTTCAAGATTAAAGGATGAAAAGCAGTACTAGAGTCCAGTGAATTATGTAGATCATCTCCAACTTTTGGCTAAAAACCAAAGAAAAATATTCAATCTGTAGCACAGTTACCACAAGTACAAAATAAAATTGATTCATCAAGCATAGCCGTTCATTAAACAAATTAGGAAATATACAGATAGACTTATACAATGGAGAGCATATAAATAATTGATTAAAACATATGGCCTAATACACACTATGTTACACTAGTTAGGAAATCCTTACGTACAAGCATTACAAAATGCTGTCTTTTATGAAATACTAAAATTCAGACAAATTAATAGGTCCAATATCGTGCTACATGGAAAAGGCATCATACAGAAAACACGGAATCCAAAATCCCAGAGTAGTAAAAAAACACATTTATATGCCACTATGTGAGTACTTGGTATCATCAATGTGTTGCATATTATTATTGTCATACTTGCAACATCTGTGATCCTTGTAAACGTAATGCAATTTTGGTCAGAAAGGTCTTGCTTTCTACTACCCTCTTATGTTGTACCAGATAATAGAGTCAGCTTAGTTCATTCAGTAACAGTATCTCTCAGACCATAGTAGATATATTCATTGTCTCTAAAGTTTTCAATTTTGCTACAAGCGTACACTATATATTCCCAGGCAGTTTTGGAATAGATCATTCCTAGTTGAGTCACTCACATGAATCAACTCAGTTTGGCACACGAACAAGTTCTACTATGCCAAAATCCAGTTTAAGCTGAGTTTTTCAGTTCTAAAATTAGATATACAGGAATACATACATAAAAGACAAAATGCGAGATACAGGAATATATAAAAAAAAGACTTGTACCTTTTGTGGTAGAATGAGTTTCCCTCTTTGTATAAGCCTTATTTTGTAATCTTATTGTTGGCAAAAAGCCTACTTTTTGCAAAATAGAAAAGCTTACAGAGTTTTTCACCAAAAAGCTCATGAAGTTTTGTTTTTTGAAATTGAAACCCAGGAGAGGTCACTTGGTTTTGGCTCCATCTGAGTCGGGGACCAAGTTCAAGATTTTTAAAAAAATTCAAAGATCCTTAGAGATGGATGCTGCTATCTTTGCAAGCATGGTAACCTTGGGTGCTTATTATCTTTCCACCAAAACCATCTCTCTCCCATAATAGCTCCTACCAAAAGTGTCTCTTTTCTCAAACCAAAGGAACGAAGGTAGAAAATAAAAGACGCAGGTTAAGGAGTATATTCATGCACAGAAAAACACAACTGCTCCGTAATTTCAGTACCACTGTTCCACTTAAGGCCAATGATGTCTTACAATACACCAACATGAAGTCAAGAAACTACTTTTCCTTCAGTTTCATAGAGCTAACTAGAAAGGGAAGTAGAGGCTCTGAGCTTCATGAAAAAAGTAGAGCTTGATAATCTGTTGGATCTATCCATAAAAGAATCACAGTCATTCAATGAAAAAGGGAAAACTTCCTTTTCTAAAAAAATTGAATTCCTAATCTGAAGACGCTAGAAATAGACCACACCATGATGGGCCTTTTAACATTTAGCAGTTATCTTCCATGGACATTCCCTTTGAGGCAACCAAAGAACATCTGTGATGCATTGAAGTTCATATAAAAATTAAGAAATAAACTGTGTACAGACTCCACATGTGTGGGGTGTCCTTAGGTGGAATTTTGTGCTAACAATTTTTCGAAGCCATTTTTACTCAAATAAAAAAAAAATCTAAAAATTCATAAAAATTATCACAAATCATTTCTAATTATGTTCCATCAAAATAACTTGGTTTGGCATCCAGGAAAAATCCAGATAGGGAAATTAGGATCCTTAATTGGGTTGTATATACTCTCCACTGGGCTAGCTTTGGAACCCTAGGCCATTTCTCATGTTTACTCAACAAACCAATGTCCCACAGTCTTAGGAAGAAACACATGCTTGATTTATCAAAGTTGACTGAATAGATGGCCTGGTTTTTGGATGTTCAATAGATTACAAGTACACCCCTAAGGACATGCAATCTTGTGGATGAGGGGGTCCCTCTTTCTGCACATATGCATAGCTCTGATTAAGAGGATCTACTTTATCAAAGCGGCTTCCTACTAGCGACTATCCTATGCACATGTTGTGAGCAAACTGAATTGTTAGGATTTTAGGCGCATATCAACTCAAAGCCAAGTCAACTCATATAGAGCTGCTTCTCTCATGTTTGCGCAATCAAATCGGATTCTCTGATCCTATCTCTTATGCCCTGGCTCACACACTCACGAGGCATTCTTATACCTACCCTGAATAAATCCTCAAACCTCTCGGTTCTAGATAAAGCCCTCTAGACTTGCCTCATGACTCAAGGTATTTCGATTTTCGGCTCCTAGTTTGCTAGAATCTTGTAAGTGCAACATTCCGGTTCACTCCCACTGCAACCAATAACTATCATTGAATGGCGGAGTCAAGGGCTTGTAAGGCCACAACTCCAAAATGCAGCACGTCCCCCCAAAAGTCCATGCCATGTCATAATGGAGGAAGAGGTGTTCATTGGTTTCTTATGCTGATTTGCATATGGAGCGTCTATTGGAGGCCGTCAAGCACCAATTTTGTAGCTGGTCTACAGTGACGCCCTTTAGGATATGGCATCCAGCTGAAGACATGGATCTTGGGAGGAATGGAAGTGAGCCAAGTTCTGCTAGAAAGGGAATGGGGGGAGAGGTGAAAGAATAGAGGCTGTTGAAGCTTCTGGTGGAATGATGACACCATAAATTCACCTGAGATGGCTGGCATCCAAATTAGCTTATTGTCTCCTGTAGCGAGTAGAAAGGTAGTTTGCAAGAGGAAGGAAAGAGACATGAATTTCAGACAGTTCACAATCTGAAAGGGGCCATCTGAAATTTGGGTTCCAAAATCCTCACATTGTCCAAGACTTCAAATTGGTCAGCTACAACAGCTTGTCGTTCCAGGGCC